AGACTTTGCAAAGATCTCATGACTCAATGCTTTTGGAACAATCTCGAAGAATGAGGGTAATAGAAGCTGTGAGATCATTGTGGTAAAGAAAATTTTGTAGTCTGATCCCAATGCTCATAAATACCAATGGACTTTATCTGTGTCATCAATAGGTCGACCAATGGCTGCTAGTTGATCACAAAGTCCTTTGAAAATTCTGGAGAACTCAACAACATATTGAGATCCTCACTACATTAGTTGAAGTTCATCTTTGAGTTGCAATTCACGAGTCTTTGATTGGTGTGAGAAGGAAACCATAAGAGCTTGCCAAGCCTCATGTAAGTGTCGCAAACCAATAACTCACTCATGGACTCTTCCGTGAGGGAAGAAAATAGCAAACTCATAAGCATTTGGTTTGTATGTAGCCAAGAATTGTGAGCAGGATTTGGCTTTATGACTTCACTGGAATCAGTGATCATAACACATGGAGCAACAGTGCTCCCATCCAAGAAACCAAAGAGTTCTTGACTAGTTAATAGGGGAACAAATTGATTTCTCCATAATAGATAATTGGAGGAGGTCAGTTTAATGGTAAGCATGAACACCATTGTGTTGAGCGGAAGAGTAGGATATGAAGAAGATGAATCTGCCATGATTTCAATCTCCAACCGAGGCTCTAATACCATATGAGTGTTAGACAATTTATATAATACGATTGTGATTCACCTTGACCATGCAAAGAGATGCCTTAGCGTTTATATAATGAAGTTACAACTCAAGAGTCCTATACAATAGGATCAGATAAGTACAAGTGAACAAACTGATAGATACAATAAATTCTATGCTAATTACAATTGATTTTAAGGATAACTCTTATCACAACCATATCTAAAATAATTTATGGTCATGTTTATTGAAGATATTCTAATGTATTCTAAAACTAGTTATGAGCATAACCCCCTTTAAGTTATCTTGCAAACCCTAAATAAGAATAAAGTTTATATCAAACTTAGTAACTATGAATTTTGGCTAAATAAAGTAATTGTCAATTAGAAATATGTAGTTTCATATGAGAGTGTGTTTATTGATCCAAATAAGGTAAAAATAATTGTCAATTAGGAATCCTTTAAAAATATATATATAAATAAAGGGTTTTCTAAGGTGGACTAAATATTATAGAAGATTTTTATTGATCCAAATAAGGTAAAAATAATTGTCAATTAGGAATCCTTTAAAAATATATATATAAATAAAGGGTTTTCTAAGGTGGACTAAATATTATAGAAGATTTGTTAAAATATTTTCTTTGATAGCAACACCACTAATAAAGTTATTGAGAAAGAATATAGGATTTAAATGGACTAAACAAAGTCAAAAGTGTTTTAAAAAACTAAAAGCCTGATTGATTGATGCATTACTTGTTATTCCTACTAAAAAAGATGGGTATATGGTATATAATGATGTTTCACATAAAGGTTAAGGGTGTGTTTTGATGTAACATAAGAAGGTTATAGCTTATATATTTATGAAACTTAAACCAATTAAAATTAACTATCTTATCTATGCTATAGAATTAGTCATTATGGTGTTTGCATTAAAAATTTGGAGACATTATTTATATATAGAGAGAAATGTTAGATATTTATGGACTACAAAAGCTTAAAATACTTAATAACCTAAAAAGATTGAATTTGAGGCAAGCATAATAGTTAGAATTATTGAAAGATTATGATTTTAGCATAAATTATCATTTAGGTAAAGCCAATATTATAGCTGACGCACTTAGTTAAAAATTTTAAGGTATTTTGGCTCGTGTATCAGTAATCTATATCTTTATTGTTAAATTTAAAGCTTTTTAAATAGGGTTGAAAATAAATAACAATGGTTTGCTTCTAGCTTACTCGAATGCAAAACCAATATTGATAAATAGGATCTAAGAAGAACAAGGTAGACATATCGATAAAAATAATAAGTGAAGTAAAGAAAAAGAACCAGATTGATTATAGTTTAAAAGAGAAAGGTATCTTAGTGTATAATAACAAGTTATGTGTTATGAAAATGGATGAGTTAAAAAAAAGAAAGACTTTAGAAGAAGCATATAGTTTATTTAATACTATGTATTTAGTAGTACTAAAATGTATCAAATATTGAAATAGAGTTATTAGTATAAAGGAATGAAACAGGATATAGAAGAATTTTTGTATAGATATTTGGTATATCAACAAGTTAGAGCTGAGCACCTTTGTCTCTCTAGAGTTTTGCAACCACTTTACATTCTTAACTAAAAATGGAAGAGGGTTGCTATAGAGTTTGTAACAAAACTACCATGTACTTGGAAGAATCATGATGCCATTTAAGTGATTTATGATAAGTTGACTAATTTTACATATTTCATAGCAGTTCAAGTTGAACATTCTTTAGATAGACTTATAGAGTTATATATAAATAAAATCATGAGGTTATATGGAATTCCTTTATGTATAATTTTGGACAGGGATATGAGGTTTATTTTTTAATTGTTAATAAGCTTATAGAGGACATTGAAGACTAGTTTAAATTGCAGTTTAAGTATTTGAAGATATATTAAGACTATTAGTAAATGAGTTTAATGGTTATTGTGATTGACATTTACTTTTGATGGACTTTGTATATAACAATAATTTTCAATCTAGTATTGATATGGCCACCTATGAGGCACTATATCATAGGAAATACAAAACCTTTTTATGTCAGGATGAAATTAAGGTTAAGTTATTGGGATTTGAGTTAGTGTAACATATTTTAGAGAAAGTTCAAGTGATAAAAAATAAATTAAAATTTGCAAGCAATAGATAAAAGTCATACATTAACTTGAAATGTAGTGATATTAAGTACAAAGTAGGCGATGAGGTGTTCTTGAAAATGTCTTATGGAAATATAATATAAAATATGGAAGAAATGAAAGTTAAGCTCTAAATATATAGCTTTGTGTGAGATTTTAGACAAGGTTGGACCACTAGCATACAAATTAGCATTACATATCGAACTAGCCAAAAATCATAATATTTTTCATGTGTCAATGCTGAAAAAGCATTTTTCAAATCTATCCCATGTTTTACGAATATAATCATTTAAACTCTAAGACAATCTAACCTATAATAAGGAACGCGTAAAAATATTAGCTTTATAAATCAAAAGGATTAAAAATAAGTCTTTATTATGAAAATATTATGAGAAACCATTCTAAAAATAAAGAGACTTATAAGCTTGAGAAAGGGATGAGACTTTAGTACCATAATCTTTTTAGAGACATACATACATAAATCTAGGGGAAAATCTTTAAAGGAAGAAAATTGTAACACTCTAAAATTGCATTGCTATAAATAGTGAATATATCATGATTTATACAAGTAGTAAATTATAAATAGATTAAATGATGTAAAAATACATGAGAATATAACTAAATGTCAAATAATATAGGGTTAAAGAAAGTTAGGGGATGAAAAATATAGAACAAAAAAAAAGGCTCAAAATGCAATTAGCCAATCCAAAATAGGTGAAGTATAATAATTTTTGCATGACTAAATAGGTGAAGTGGGATGATTTCTGCTTTGTCATGCTTCTGAAGTGTGAGAAAGCAGTGAGGGACATGTTTTTTTTTTATCATTCTTATTATTTTTATTTTTTCTCATACCTAAAAGTTAAACATTATTCCTATAAACTATGCATGTAGAGTCTAAAAACTAACAATAGCAAACTATGCATCCCAAGAGCAAATTCTGGAGTATTTAAGCTTGAATTGAATAGAATTACTAAAAGGTAAATCAAATATAGATTATGATAGGTTAAGAAAGGAAAGGAAAGAAAGAAAAAAATAGAAAAAGCAAGGAAAAATAGGCTAGAGTTTAAAGTGAGTGATTAAACTAATAGGTATGCATAAATTCTTGTTTAATATGTTTTATATGGAGAATTCCCTTAAATGCTTGATTAATATATAGAATTGATATATGAATTCTAACCTAATTGTTTGAATGCAAACTTTATATGATAATTATTAATTAAGAGTATGCTTTTAAAAGATTGAACAATGATTTGTTCTATTAAAGTGAATGGTGTGTTTGGCCCAATTGATGTGTTGACATAATTGCACATGACATGTGAAAAAAAGAACTTGTTTCCTATGAAATTGTGACCACCTAAATGCTACATGTATTGCCTTTAAGGTAGCATACAAATAAATTAAAGATACAAAAATTGAACTTTCATACATTTTGCCATCTGATGTCAACACGTTGTTGTGCTTAAATGGTGAAAACTCTTTAAAGCTTCTCATGCTTATTAATTTAATTATTCATTGAGTTATACTCATCAACAATTAATAAATTATTTTAAATGAGAAAGAAAGACAGCTTGGGTAGCAGGTTTCCAAACAAAGTGAAGTGAGGGTGCTAACTTAAAGTAGTGTCTTGAGTTTTGTTATCGTAACCTTTTCAATGGTAGTTTTGTGCATAGGTCCTTACGTATATTATGCATGAACTCTTTCAGTACGCATTTGATACACGTATATTATGCATGAACTCTTTCAGTACTCAAATAATGTATAAAAAATGTTGACGACAAGATAAAATGTGAATTTGTTTATTGAATAAAAGGCTGCGTGTGTATACATCTGTTTAGTGAAGACAACAATAAAAAAGGATGTCAGTTTACTTGACTAATGAAATCAAGGGGCATGTTTCTAAAATGACTGCAAGTGATGCTACTTTCTAAGATGAGTGGTTTGAAAAGGAAAAGGAAAAAGGTGACCATGTCGTGATTAAGGTTAATGATGGAACTAGGGTGGGTGAACTTTGGAAAAGTTTAACAACACAGGGGTTGGATTGGGTTATTGACGAATCTATGGTAACATAAAAGAAAAGGAGAGGAACGACCTGTGCAGAAAACAAGAACGAAGAAGACTGCGACGAGTGATTGCGAGCAGCTGCAGCGGGTGTCTCTTCTTGTCAGTGTTGATAGTAGAAGAAGAGATTTGAATTTGTTATCTGGGAAGCAGGGTTGACTGCGCTCTCACATCATTTCTGAAATCGAAGTCACTTACTTACTTTGAGGTTGGTTGTTTCTTTTTTGTTGTTCTGTTTTAAATGTTTATATTACAACAATAGTAATTTTAAGTTGTGTGTTGTTAATTAAATAACAAGAAGAGGATTGGTGGGGTTGGCTAGGATAATTCTGTGATGGATAGGAACAAGAATTACAACAAGAAGAAGCAGCAGCACAAAGCAGCTGGTATTAGTCAATTTCAATGGAGACCCGTCTCTGTCTCTTCTTCTTCTTCTTCTAATATTGGAGGTTTGTTTTTCTTTCCTCTTTAATACACTTTTCATGCCTTCTGAAACCATTCTTCTTCATTATTTAATTACAAGACTAACCATTTTGTTTTCGAGTATTATGAGCAATTTCAGTGCTGCATGCCATTATACTCTCTCTTTTCTTCTTCTTATTGATATATAATTCTTGCAACAACAATAAACCATAAAGCTGATACTTTTTTACTACTAAATGGACCTTATTGCTTCTCAGCTAATAGTTGACCATGGATCGGCCTTTGTCAACAAAGCAGTCTGTTTCAAAACGTTGTGTTTGTTAGAGTATATGCTTGGCGTTACTAATTGTTTGTCTTAAACGATCTGCACTCTGGTGTTACTTATGAATTATTTAATGTAAATAAGCAGAATCCCTGGTCAAAGATGTTGCAAATGAGTCAGAAGATGGCAATCATGTTCAAGAAGTGATAAAGGTTGCTCAAGTGGTGGCTGATAATTCTGACTCAACCATCAGATCTTGTGTGCTGGATGATTGTGTTGAGCCCGTGCTTTCTGCTGAGAAGCATTCACTTTCGCTTCAGGTAGCTTTTAACTCGTTCAAGTTTAAATAGTTTACACACGGTATGCTCTCTCATTTTGAAGTGGGACTTTTCATCTGCTTGTATTTTCATGCAAGGAATTTGATCTGAATAACAGTCCTTAGTTCTCACTCATTAGTTTTCTTTTTATAGTGCATGTCTTGCTTTCTTAAGAAACTGCCTCGCAGAATATGCTGTTACAAAAAGTATCCTGTCTTGCATAGAATATCTGATGGTGCAATGTTGGGATCAAGTATAGATTTCTTCCGTAACCCTCTTGTAGTCTTCACGGTAGTTCTTTAATGGCTTCTCTCAACTTTGATCTTATGTGTTATTCTTATTCTATTACTCACCTTGATATTACTGCGTTGTACATGGTCCATTTCTCTTCTAATTCTCAAATTCCTTGATATTTGTAGCTAGACTCTGGCTTTTCAAGATTTTGCGTTATAGCTGGAAAACTTTGTTTACCATTTGAAGATTGTATTAATCATCTCTATCATTTCCAACTGCTGCAAACTTTAAAATGAAACCTAAATACGGTATAGGTATGACGCTTAGACCTTGTGAAGCCCATTGTGAATTATGTCATTAAGTACTATCTACCTGCGAACACCTTAATCATCCAGTAATTATTGCTATCTTGTTGTTTTCTCTCATGTCTTTAATTTTTTTAATCTCATTTCTGTGTTTTGCTTTGAAGGTGGATGCTTCTCTGATTCATTTCATTAAAGGAAAAGTGTATGAATTTCAGCTTAACTTTTTTCTTTTCTTCTATCTTTAATTTGAACATAAGTTACATCCATATTCACCTGTACTTATAAGCTCCCTACTCAGAGGATCTGCTCAAAAAAGGATTGAAGAGGAGATGGCTGTTAAGATTGTTTTTCAATCGTCAAAGAATGAAGAATCAATTGGTAAGCTTTCCTGATTGAAAGTAATTGTCTTGCTTGTATGCAAATGTTACAGCCAGTTTGTCACTTTGAGACTTCAGGGGTGTTACCATGTCTTCCAAGATGGTATCATGACCTGTCCTAATATGTTAATGCTTGAATTTGACAATTTTGATCAATACATTTGAACGTGGTGACCACAACATTGGCTGTGATTGTTCACTACTTGACATGCTGTCCTCTGCAGTCATTGAAGGCATTTCAACTGATTTTGTGACAAGAGCTTCAGAAAAGATACAAGCTATTATTGATGAGGTCAGTTACAAGTCATTGTGGGTTAAAAAAATTCACTATTTCCTTCAAGTCATTCCATTATCATTTGACACATTTGACACCTAGTTTGATGGTTAACTTTTCTTTGAATTACTCTAGTAGCTCATGACTGACATGAATGTTCTGTATTGGATAAATCCAATCAATATAGTAGTCTGATTAATACCATGTTGATTGTTGAGTATGTGGGTTGTAAAAGGTGTGCTTCGCTAGTTAATGTCAGGTTTTGGCATCTGTCATTGGATGCAGGCGACACGCATCTTCTTTTTTTTTTCTCTCTCTCTCTCCTTGTTTCCATCTGCAAATCTCACACAAAAAGCATATGGTATTTTTTGGAGTGCTTCATTTGTTCTTTTTTTTTTTTACATGCTTGACAGATTACTAATGGTTTCTTCTCTTTGTGGGTAAAATCACAGGCAATTGAAACAGATCTCGACTACTCTCACTTTGTATCGCTTCCATTGGGAATATACCCTGAATTGGTTGATAAGCTAGTTGATTTTCAGAACTCCATACTGGGAATTAATTATGTTTCTGTAGATGCAAACGTGGAAAGTGATTATAATGAAGACACTTCAGACATCAAAAATAAGGGTCAAGTACTAATTGAAGGAGATGGTGTAGCTGTTGAACTTAAAGCTGAAGATGATAATCAGGTTAAAGTGGGTTTAACTAGCATACCTTTTGTTAGTTATCCTCCTAAACCACGAAGGTTGCCTAATGCTTCTGGTAGGTTTTAAGTTCATCAGTTTAATTCAGAGATTATCCTGGTGTCCCCTATAATAGCATATAGTTCTATACCCACTTTTTAAACTTTGGGCCCTATAAAATTGCTGATAATCCATTTTCCCGTGTTCAAAGTCTTGCTTCCAATTTGTTTATCCTTAATTAAAATGCTTACTTTGCTGTTAGCCAATTTCACCTAAACCAATTTGCTTCTATTTCTTTTGGCAATCACTTTTTTCCCTTCTCTCATTTACTTAAATGAAATCTTATTGATTTATGCGTCGCTTGACAGACTTTGGAATAGACAAAACCATATTCATTAGACCTACAACATTTCACTTGACTGTACTCATGTTGAAGTTGTGGAACAAGGAGCGAGTCAATGCAGCTTCAGATGTTCTGAAGGTATGTTTGTGTTACATATAAGGTTGGTATTATCTAGTGGTGGTTCTAATAAATCACTGCATGTGTGTTTAGAGTATCTCATCAAAAGTGATTGATGCCTTGGATAATCGACCGGTCTCCATCAGGCTTAAAGGGCTGGTAAGTAGAATATGACTTGAATCGATTCTTCTTGTTTTTTGGATACACGGTAGGAAATGTTGGCCTTTCGAATCTCAAGCTCTATCCTTGGTAAATAAGTGTAAGATGCTTTGAAGTTCTAGTGGGTTGTCTTCTGAAAAATGATGGCTTATTTAACATTAGTGTGATGGGTGGATTGCTGTCTTCATGTCCTTCTATTATGTCCTCAAGCCAGCTATTACCTACTAAAATTTATACTCTTATCCCTTGGTAGGATACCATGAGAGGGTCTTTGTCCAGAGCTCGTGTTCTATATGCTCCTGTTGAAGAAATTGGGAGTGAAGACCGACTTTTACTTGCATGTCGTATCCTAATTATCTAAGCATCAATAATCTGGTGCCACTTCACTGTTTGCTGCACCTGGAAAAAAAAAAGAAAACAGGAAAGAGGAAAAAAAAATGATTCTTAGTTCCATTAGATTAGAAGGTGTTTCCTTCACTTGAATGGAGTCGTCTTTTGAATTTCCTTAGCTTTCTTAGAAGTCATCATTGATGCATTTGTTGAGGCTGGACTTGTTATGGAGAAAGATGCTAAGCATAAGTTAAAGGTATGTTACTGACCTTTTGGTCTCATATGGTCACGCTTATATGTCAATGTTAAATTCAGAGGAATAGAAATGTTTCTACCATGTGCTTTGGCTATCTATATATAGTGCTTTCAAACCTTTCCAGTAGAGCATAATGGTGTATTTTTTCAAGCAGCAATCGTGGCATGCTTGCTTAGCTCCTAGGTGTTCAGTTAAATATTGTCCAACAATAGACTTTGTCACTCTTGAACCTGAACATACTGGACCTGATGCATAGTGGGGTGGCGTAGTTGTCGCAGTCTATGTTCCCGTTATTTCATATAGGTTTGGTTTTGGAACTACTAATATCAAACTAATATCAATTTATGTTGTCTGCTTAAAATGCAGTTGCATGCCACAGTGATGAACGCAAGGAACAGGAAAGGGTACTGATTTTATTTCTTTTTGCTCGTTTTGCATTTTCTTTTGGGTAAAATTAATTTTTACCAGTCCATGTGCTATCTGTGTTCATCATTAAACTTCAGAATTTGTTCTTTAGTTACATTTTTATGATGCAGTAAAACATCAGCTCCCCCCAACCCCCCCCCAAACCGGAAAAAAAAATTCTGTTCTGCCGGTTCTTTTTACTTCTTTGGGATCAAAGAATAGTTTTTAAAAGGTTGGGAACTGAAGACTAAATCTTTAGTAAAATCCCATGGACCTATTAATGATTTACCCTTTTTTATTGGCCTACTTGGTATCTAGTTTTTATTTGGCTTTTGTTCATCCGTTTGGTATTTCTACTATATGATGAACCGAAAATCTCAGGAAGAGACAAAGCAAGAATGATTCCTTTGATGCAAGGGGCATATTCAAGCAGTTCGGATCAGAGGATTGGGGAGAGTATGTTATCCCCGAAGCTCATCTTTCAAAGCGCTTTGTGTATGATGATAACGGATATTACTATTGCTGTGCTTCGATACCTTTTCCAGGGAAAGAAGCTTGCAAGTGTAGACTGATCGACGCACATAGCTAAACTACCTTTTGGTGGGGAATAGTTGAAGTATTAACTGCTGAAAATCGTCAAAAATTTGGGTTGCTTTTATAGTATTTTAAAGATTTCAGCTTTTAGAACTACAGCAGGAGTAAGTATTTCATTGCATCGGATATACAAACATTATGCTTATCATTGTACGAGGATCAGTAATGTTAAAGATGTTGTGTTTTTTATTCTTCTTTTCCTTGACAAAGTGGAGGTCTGAATTCAAGACTTGTTGAGGCTTCGAAAATAGTAATATCTCATTGGCATAAAATTGCCATTTTGAGGACGTTTGTTCCTTGAAATCTCAGAACGAGCTTTGTCCTAACTACAACCGAAAGGCGATTAGCCCCTCCTGTTAGCTAGGGAATTCCACATCTGCAACACTGGAGAGAGGCTTTACTCCACCCTCTAATTAGCAAAGGAAAGGAACGAGAGGGTGAGAGTTATTTCCTTTCTGTCGGTAGGAAGAAAGATCAAGATCAAGATCATGATCATGGAGGAGAAGACTTTCCATTCCCAATCTAACAAAATCGTTCCAGTTTCCGTGCTAGAGTAGGAAAAAGACAAGCAGACAGCTATCTGGATAAGCTACATCAATCTGCACAACCCTCTGTTTTAGAGACAGATTATCCAACAAAACATTTTCAATATTCATGGGGCAATTGCCTCTAGTAATTGATAATTCGAGACAGAGCATGTGATGCTGCAATATTTCCTATGATTAACGTACTTTAATGATTTAGACCTGCAATCCATTTTGATTTGGTGCACCGCCAAGTTCAGATATGAAGAATGGTGGTCGGCAACGATGGCCGCCTCGCCAATTCACAACCACAATTCCATACTCTTTGGGACAAAAGAAGAATCACGCAGTGGATATACGTGTCACTTTTTCCAAGAGGTGAAAAGGGCAGAACTGGAAAAGTAATCACATGTCAAAAAAAATAAAAGATAGTAATGAGAAGCCAAACAAAACTCCATTTTTCTTTTTCAGAAAGTCTTGGAGATTGCTTCTTATGCATGTCCTTTCGCTGGCTAGACGTCTCGCCATTGCATTTGCAAAAGTTGAATGATGTGGAAATGCAGAATAGTTTGCATCATGAAATATTATATATTGTTATAATATTTTTTTATATTATATTTTTTTATTTTTTACATTTGAGTTTTTCTTCTTATGATATTTATAAAATTATTTGTTTAATTTTATTTTTTAATATTAAAATCATTAAAAATTTAATTTTTTAATTTATTTATTTTTATTTTATTTTTTTATGGGATTAACATGTGTTGCAGGTTTGTCAAAATAACATAAATTATCCCAATTTATAGATATGTTGTTTTTAATGATATAGGGAAAGTACTATAGTTTTTCTTAACAAAATATTATAAATTACTATAGTGTTTCTTTATATTATTTTTTATATATATGGTTTTTTATTATGATTTTTTTTTGAAATTATTTTTGTTAATTTTATTTTTTTAATATTGAGATGGTTGAGAATTTACATTTATAATTTTTTTTATTTTTTTATGAGGTTAACGTGGTTTGCAGGTTTGTCGAAATAACTCAGGTTATCCTAATTTATGGATGCGGTGTGTTTTTTTTTTAATTTAACTTAACTTTTTATAGTTTATTTTTGCGGTGTGTTTTTTTTTTAATTTAACTTAACTTTTTTATAGTTTATTTTTTTCTCATATTGTTAAAAAAAATAGTTTTAGAGAAAAATCATATTATTAAACTTTATAAAGTAACAAAAATTAAAAGATGAGGAGGAAACCATGATCTACCCAACACTTGTTGCACTGTAAATTATTATTGTAATCTAAAATGTTTTGCTTTGCTTTTCTTTTCTTTTCTTTTATTTTAATTTTTTTTATGATTTTTTGTAAATCTATTTTTGTCGATTTTAAAAAAAAATTGAGATTGTTGAGAATTTAGTTTCATAACTTGATTTTTTTTTTTATCTTTATATGAGGTTAGCATGGTTTATGAACTTACTAAGAAAATCCAGGTTGCCCTAGTTTACAAGTTTAGTGAGTTGTTTATTTAATTAAACTTGATTTTTTTTATAATCTATTTTTTTCTCATATGGTTAGAAAAATAGTTTTAGAGAAAAGTCATGTTATTAAACTTTATAAAATAAAAAATTAAAGGGTGTAAGGAAATCATTGTTCACCCATACATATTGCACTATAAATGACAATAATAATCTATAGTGTTTTACTTTCTTTCTTTTTAATTATGTTTTTGAAAAAAAATTATGATTTTGTTTTAATTTTTTTTATCGATTTTATTTTTTAATATTGAAAAGGTTGATAATTTGGCTTTATAATTTGTTTCTTTTTAATTTAGCTTTCTATAAAGTTACCATGGTTTGCAAGTTTGTTAGAGTAATCTTAGTTGTTTTGGTTTATGAGTTTGGTGGGATGTTTTTTTTAATTAAAAAATAGTTTCAAAAATATTTATGTTATTAAACTTTATAAAGTTCATGACCTATTCACATGTTTGGTTGGTTAATTTGGTTTGTGAGTCTGAAAAATTTATTTTTTAAAAAATTATTTTTTGTCATTTTTAGATATTGAGTTAATTGAAAATTCAGTTTCATAATTAGTTTTGTTTCATTATTTATGAGGTTATCATGATCTAAAAAAATTCTCAATATCAAGTTGGTGTTTAATTTCATAATCATCTATTTTTGTTATCATATAGTTAAATAAAAAATAAATTAAAAAAATTATAATCATAGTGGAGTTCATAATCCAGTTTATAAGTTTGATGTCCTAGCCCAGTTTGCTCGATTCACAGGTTTGATGAGTTTACCTATCAATATGATATGCTTCTCTATTTTTGGTCTATTAATCGCTTTTAATTTATTTTTTATTTTATTATATAATATTAGATTAGTTGAGAAATGAACTACATTATTAATTTTTGTTTGCTTTGTAGGGATAATTGTTTCAAATAAGTATTTATTTTTAGGTTAGTATTTAATTTTATGAGCATCTATTTTTATCATATAATTAAATAAAAAATTATAGAAAAAAGTTATTAAACTTAATAGAATTCATAACTTTGGTTGTAGAGAAGCTCAATCATTATCTCAATATTTTTTTTAGAAAGCTTATCTTGAAATTTTTTTAAAAACTAAGTCATGTTTTTATCAATTATCAAAGTTATATTTGAATTTATAAAATCAATTAATTTAAATTAAAATAATATATATATATTCTTGCAAGCTTGGAGACACTTGGCCTTTTTTGTATTAGGCTAGGCTCATGGACCCAACCATCTTTCGCTAGATGTCTAGTTTTTTTTTTATATCTTTTTAGTATTTTTTATTCTTATATTTTTATCAAACAAACTATAAATAATTATTATTTTTATTATTTTTAAATAATATTTTTATTTTTGTCATGATAGTATTAGTAATTGTTTTTTTAATTATTATATATTTAATATGAAAAAAAATTACTCATCAATATCAATACTCAATGAAAATAAAATTCTTGTTTTGTTGTTTTATATAGATTTTTTTAATAATTTTATCACGTTAATTAATTATTTTTTCTCAATCATGTACATAATATTGAGGCATTATTTAAATGGTTTTTATTGAAACTTGTTTTTGATATCATTATAATTTTTTATTTAAAACTTTGTTCTTCTAATTAAAAAACAAGTTTTTGTTAAAATAATTGAGGAATAAATTAATAAGGAAATGGATAACTACAAAAAATATATTTTTCATACTTATTTCAAATGATTGAGATTTTACAAACCTTTACTCCTTTTTTTGTTGCCTTTTATTTTTAAAACGTGGTGCTAATAAGAAAATATTTTATTCAAACCAAAAAACAAATTTATGAATAAGAATAATTTGTGTAACAAAATATTATTTTCTAGAATTTGAATTATTTTCTTCCGTGCTCATTTATATTATGATTATAAAAAACTAAATAAAAAATAACTAAAAAATTTAAAAGGATATTGTTTTTTTTTAAGGTGTATTACTGCTCATTTACCTATATACAACATGAGCAAATCTATTTTTTTAGAATTTCATCATCATTAAAATTTATCATTTTTATCATTATTTTATCTTTGCGTATTATATTTGGTAATAATTTATACATTGAGATTTTCTTTTCTATTAACATTCTTATAAATTCAAGGTGTTTAATAAGTTTTAAAATTTTAATTTATGGCCAATTTAACTAAATTAAATTTAGATTTATGGTGCAAAGATTTAAAATAAATAGGAGTAAATAAAAAAAAGTTGTTCCTTTTTATTTTTTCATTTCTGTCCAAAAAATCTTTATTTATGCTTTTTTTTAATTATTATTTTAGGATCCTACATTTAGGTATGCGTTTGTGTGTGTATTCAATTGTTTTGTTTTAAAAGAGACGAGAGAAAGTTGTTGATTATATTTTGAATATAAAATGCCGATCTCGATAGAATAGGAACATCTTGCTAAGGAACATGTTGTTAAGATATTTTTGAATTTTATCTTGTCTAAAAATTGATCAAGGCTTGAGAATATATTTTTTATTTGATTTAATTTTTAATTTTTTAACTATTTAATGGTAATGGATGTTTTGAAGTTGGAAATAGATTTAATGAGGTGATCTTGGGTGTTTTAAGGTTAGAAAAGAGCTTAGAAAATGGATTTTGGGTTTTATAAACTTTAACCTTGACTTGTCGACACCTCTAGCTATCAAAATCTTAATCATTTAATTATATATCAGTTATTTTATTTAAAAAAATATAAAGTAAATATTGTTTCATCGACCCATTTAAAAAAATAAGACGAGCAGGTTTAGCTTTTCATACTTGTCTTGACATCTTTGTATTGTGCCGGATACACTAGCTCACTCTTCCATCTCGGATGCCCCGGATACACTAGCTCACTCTTCCATCTCGTATGCTTAATCTTCTTCTTCTTCTTCTTTTTCTAATATTGCCTTTTAGTTTTTTTATTTGTTTTTTTATGAATTCTAAATAAAATTTATTATAAATATAATAATCAAAATTATATCTGACATATTATTCAATTAAATATTATTTGATTTTGCCATCATTTTCAAATAAGGCTTTTTATATATATAATATTAGCAATCAATTTGTTAATTGCTATATATGAACTTGATATGCAAAATATTTTTAAAATGTGATCATGAATATTCAATGAAAATAAAATTTTAATTTTTTATTATAAATATTTTGCATAGTTTTCTTAGGTTGATTATTCCTTTTTCCCTTAATTGCATTCTAAACATTGACAATGTTTCTAAAAAAAAAGCATCTTTTTCATCAAAATAAATAAATAAAAGTTCATGAATAAGAATATTATGGTTTTGGTTAGAAATATAAATTCTCTTTTTTATTTCTAATCATTATATTTTTTGTGGATATTTGTTTTTCAATTGTTGTTATTTTTTATTTAGTATACCATATTGCTAATAAAAAGAACGATTTAGGTATAAAGAAAATTACATGAGTTGATTAAAAAAATATTTTTTCTTTTCTATAAATATGTACTTTTATTATTATATAATTAAAGAAAAACTAAATTCCAATGAATTTCCTGTACACCTCAAATCTAAAGACAATTATTTTATGTTTTCCCAAGCTCCTCATTTATATATATATATATATATATAAAAAAAAAAAAAAAAAAACCAACCCACTAATGTTACCCACTTATTTTCACTTTGTGGCCCTAAGGTAGCGAAGCCCTTATCACCTCCCTTTTGTTTGTCTTTCTTTAATCGTAGTTTCTCTCACCCATGGCCCACTTTCCTCTCTAACATGAAGGCTGGTCACATGGAAGAATCATTGATGTGCATCCAGACATTTCTAAGACGACAGCACCGTGAAAAGACCTTATTAGATATGGATGGAGCCATCAGCCATTTTACACAGCACATTCCCTTCTTCACCCTCAAAAAAGAAAGAAAAAGGAATTATGCAACTCATGACTCCGTTTATATATTTAACTACAATTCTCCTCCCATTTCCTGGAGTTTCCCTGCAGCTATAGCCTGTTCTTTCAAAGATGGCTGGAATAGCCTTTGGTCGCTTTGATGATTCTTTCAGTTTAGGCTCTCTCAAAGCTTATCTTGCTGAATTTATCTCAACTTTGCTCTTCGTTTTTGCTGGTGTTGGCTCAGCCATGGCTTACAGTTAATATTCTCTTTTCCACACCCTGCTTGGTAATAGAATGGCGAAGATAATATACATGGCTTGCAAACCACAACAATCTTTTTTTCTTTTTTAATTATGATCATAGTTAAAGGGAACTGATCGTAACTTAATTACATGATGATGTGATCAACTAGAGTCGTTGTAACTCATTGTTACTCGAGGATGAAGAATATCCTCCTCCTCCTAATTAAACATAGTGCTGGCAATAACAACAGCCATGCAAAGAATGATAATGCAGTACTGCCAATGATTGTAAGTGAACTAACTAAAGGATCTCACTATTGCAGATAAGCTGACAGGCGATGCAGCTCTGGATCCAGCTGGGCTAGTAGCCATTGCTGTTTGCCATGGATTTGCGCTCTTTGTTGCAGTTGCTGTTGGTGCCAACATCTCCGGTGGCCATGTCAACCCTGCTGTCACTTTTGGCTTGGCTCTTGGTGGTCAAATGACCGTCCTCACCGGCATCTTCTACTGGATTGCCCAACTCCTTGGCTCCATCGTTGCATGCTACCTTCTCAAAGTTGTCACCGGAGGCTTGGTAATTTTATTTCTTATTATTAATTGAATCACTCTGCTAAGACCTCCTAATTATGTTATATGCAAAATCTTCCATACATTTTTTTTTTTTTGTAAAAAGGCAGCATGTTTTTACACTTGACCTCTTATCACACTCCTCGTGTAGTTTTCGAGAGATGTGATTTATTCATCTGTCCCAATATCCATGTACAAATACTTGAATTTATTTTCCCATGAAGCTTGACTTTCTATAATCACATGGTTTCACAGGCAGTCCCCATCCACAGTGTTGCAGCTGGAGTAGGAGCCATTGAAGGAGTCGTCATGGAGATCATCATCACATTTGCCTTGGTTTACACTGTCTATGCAACTGCTGCGGATCCCAAAAAGGGATCCCTCGGCACCATTGCCCCCATTGCCATCGGTCTCATTGTTGGCGCCAACATCTTGGCTGCAGGCCCATTTTCTGGTGGATCCATGAACCCAGCCCGCTCCTTTGGGCCAGCTGTGGCTAGTGCCGCTTTTGTCTTTGTAAGAAAGAAAGGGAAGCAGATTATGCTATTCTTCCTTGCCCTTTTTTTCTTTTTTTAAAAAAAACAATTCATCAATTCTATCATCATGTTGTCAAGAACTGAGAATGAAGGGAGTGTGTAGATGCTTCTTTTTCATGTCTTATTATGGTTGTTTCCTTTCCTTCTCTAGATTTTCTTTGTTAGAGTAGGAATAAGGGCAAATAAGACCTGTATGTGAGCATGACCGAATAAAAACCCAGACGAGAGAGGGTTGGCAAGGGCCTAATGCTCTTACTTCTTTTTTTAAGATATTTTGAGTCTTATTTATTTTTATATTTTAAAAGAGTTTTTTTTTTAAATAATTTTTTTTATTTTTATTTTAAATTAATATATTTTTAGTGATTTCAAATTATTTTAAGCTATTAATATTAAAAATAATTTAAAAAACTAAAAAAATATTGTTATAATATATTTTTAAATAAAAAATACTTTTAAAAGGAATCACACTTTTAAATTATAAGTTCTTATGTCTCAATTATCTGCTCCGTGCTTTCCATAATGCTTTCGTATTTGGTCTCTTTTATATTTGAGGTATCAGGATTTCCACTAGCCATGACTTGATTTTTGAAAGAAATCGTTCTCTGATATTAAGTCAAGTGTTTTTCCTCGTGTCATCAAGTGTCATGCCCTTTTTTTTTTTTGTGCAATTTTAACAGCATTTGAATGATGTTTGAGGAGTAATTAATGATATTTTAATATTTATTTTTTGGATCAAGTTTTAAATAAAAAATAGTTATAAATATGAGAAAAAATAAAATTTATAATTCATAAAAAATAATAATAATATTTTTATCTAGAATTCCTCTCTCTTACTTGTAACTATTTTTAAAAAAATTGGACTTAATGAGTGACTATTATTATACAACAACTTACTTTTTAAAAATCATCATAAAATGTATTGCCTTTCGACAGATGCAAAATAATTTTTAAAATTTAAATTTCAAGCTTTGTTTTAATTTACACCTTTTAGGTCCTTGTGTAAGTTGACTTGTGTCTAGTATTTTTAATCCCCAATTATAGCATGTCCTACTTTAAATCTTGCACCTGTAAATGCTCATTTTCATATTTCAAACAATAATTTTTTAGAAATTATCTAAGAAATAGTTTAAGCGTTGATTTTAGTAAAGGCGTAAAACTAAATCAATTATGCCTATAAAAGTAAAATAAAATACAAATTCATCATTGAAAGATCCAAATGAATAATTGCATTAATTCAATTATACCATGTCTAATTTTATCTAATAATTTAACTACATCTAATTAATTCCTGGTAAATCGATGCATATTATTCATGGATGTACCCGCAATATTGAAATTTTGTCCTCCCTGATTTTAATGATGTATTAAGCACTCTTGCAATGTTCTTATTGTTTCAAATTCTCATATGCAAATGAACTCTAAAAGACCCAAGTCCATAAGCAAGAGACACTCGTCACAATTTTTCAGAAATGTATACATGTTGCAGCAGGGAATATAATGTTGGTTTGAGATGCATGTAAACAAAAGTTATATATCCTTAGTTTGATACACATATACATAAAGAAACAAGGAAGAGTTATAAAGATTTAAACAAAGCTAACATAATTAAATAGCATGTTATCCTTAATTTGTACTGAAAGTGTATTTTTATCAAGGTTTTATATCATTATTTTGCAATTGAAGTATTAATAACTCCTTAATTAGAGTATGTTTTATAATAACAAGTTTGATAATATAAGATACCTTTAATTTATGGTAAATGCTTATTTTAAATGCAGGTATTCTCACAATTCAAAGGATTGATTGTTGTGATTAATTATTATAAGTGAAAGGATAAAAAATAGGCTAAGTTTACGAAGGAGATGCTGATTCACTTCAAATTCAAACACTATTCAGTCATCGGATCATATTTAGAGTTATAAATATTAGATTTCATATTAATTTATATGGCTGGAAATATAAGAAATAGGCCTATAACTTTTATGCGTATGGAAAGATTAAAATTTACCTTTTTCAAATTCAAAGTTTGACCACAAAAGAGAAGTTCGAATCTGTCCTGCAATCCAACCCAAACACTACTAAGAGTTTTACCCGTAACTAGAGTTCTAGAAGTCTAAATGATATAAAATTTGGTGGGTGGAAGAAAAAGATAATTTTCAACAACTTTCATGAAGAAGACCAGCTCAAATTCGGATGGTAGAAATGATATTTCATCCAGACAAGAGCATGAAGGCTATCCACCATGTCCACCAGCAGTACTGCTTAGTATTTTAGGCATATCTCGAGCTGTAGTGCTCTAAATAATCTGAAATTTGGTGAGTGAAAGGAAAAGATAATTTTCAATAACTTTCATGAAGAACACTTTGCCAAATTCTGATTGCATCAATGTAAATTCTACCAGCCAAAGTGCTTGAATGATGTCCACCAAGTCTACTAATCAATAGTTGACCACTACATCAATTATCAATTACCAAATGAATAGTTCTGAATTTTAGCCTATAAAAGGAGGTATTTGCCATTCATTTAGGTATTTTATTTTTCATATCAAGATCATGTTCTTGCTCTCTCTCTTTATATTTTTGTAATGCTTAAGTTTTGCTCTCATTAATCTCTTGTTTATATCTTTCATTTCCTTTTCTTTACTTAGTTTACTTATTTCTTATTTATATTCGTATCTTGTTTATTTATATTTTTTTCTTTCATTATATTTAGTTAATTGTGTCAAGGTGAAAAGGTTACACTAATGGTATAAGAATAAGTATAGTATAAACTTAACATGAACTTTAATGTTTTTATATTGTTTCATTTCCTTTACTATACTTAGTTAATTTATATCATGTTTATGTTCTTATATTTTTTCTTTAAGTTTTTCTTCTTCATAATGTCTAGCTAAGTTAATTATGTCAAGGTGAAAAGGTTTCACTAATGATGTTAGGATAAGTATAATATAAACTCAATATGAACTTCAATACTTACATCCTAAACATCTTGCTATTAACATGTCTTATCATTTTTATCTTATTAATTCTTAATACCTTACTTGTTAAATGGTTAATCTAGATTTGTGTTGTGTAACAATTGGTACATCAAATACTTGATCCTTCGTAGTATTCGGCCGACATCGTTATTATGAGAGGAACTTGATTTGTTGTCAATATAAGTTAGCATCATGAATACTTGATAAAATTTATAAGTATGGTGTTATGAAAATAAGATGATTAATATGACCATGTTGATAATTAATAAAGAGGATACTTTAATACTATTAGTGTATCCTCTAACCTTGACATTTGTTTTTATCATTGTATAATCTTCATATTAATTTTACATCTCAAAGTCATCTTTAA